TATATATATATATGTATATATATTATACATATATATATAATATTTAATTGCACAATATAGAGTTGCATATTCTGTACTTAATCAGGACAATATTAATGTTCGTGTTAATATAACAGCATTGTAATTACGCTTTTGCTAAATTTTCTAAAAGTATCTAATGTTCGTAATAATTAATTTGTATATATACAAATTGTATTCCTAGCTCTCCATCACTGATTCAAATACTATGGTTCTTAAAAGTTTTTATTTGTGTTTAAAAACGTAAACTAATGTGTTTATTATACACACATATACATACAGTAGACCTTGTATAACACGGGTTTATTTAACACGGATTTGTATATTATTCTCTCGTTTAACACAAATTCTTTTATAAATGTTTCCAAATGCATATTTGTATAACTTGTATGTGACATGTATAGTGCGAATTCACATAACACACAAACGTATTCTTCGTGTTACGGAAGCTAATATATATATGTACATATATACACACACATGGCGAATCATTTGCTCAATTTTATTTTCGTATATGTGAGAGTTGCGATTACTAGAGTAGTAACACATTTCGATATATATATATATTCCACACAAAGATTAATATAAATCTTAAAGTACACATACACACGAATATATTGGATAATAATAATAATGCTAATTATTAATATAGCAGCGAGATAATAATAGCGCACACATATATGCATTCTCATCTCGTATTTACGCCAATTGTACTTCACTATTGTGTGTGTGTGTGTGTGTGTGTGGTGTGTGTACATATATATGTATATATATTATATATATATATTTCTTATTCACATACACACAAAGTACGATGTATATAAATATTTACATTTGTACTATAATCGCATATTTGCGTGTTTATCCGTTTTTTCGACATAGTTTTTAATTTTTATATACTTTCTTTTTTCTTCTCGAACATTTGTGTGAGATTCAAACACTAGTCATATATTGTAATGTGGAAAAAAAAATCCATTCAAAGTTTTGAATATTACAAAACGTATAAAAAACCATATCAAAAAAAATTATAACAGGTTCGAATTGCGAGGCATATTGACACAACTATATAAACAGTTAACTCGAACAGCAACAAAAAAAAACTGAACGAATGTTAAAAAGACTTTCAATTAAGCAATGTACATATAACTAAATGTCATACGATTTGTTCGTCAGAATCTGTTCTCTTCATCTGAATGTCGGTAATCATTTTTGCAACACACTTGTTCCAGAACACTGTACAGTCTTGAATCGAAGAATTGTCAGCGTCAATAAATCTGCGATAGTTCGCGGACTGTACATGTTAGTTGATCGCGATTTAATTAATTATTTCTCTCGCGTTGTTGTTCCTGCATTACATGAGCGCGCGTATATTCTCATGTAAATCGATGAACTTTACAGATAATTCCGGGTTTATTATAAAAAAAAAAAAAACAAAAACACTCCCGGTTTTGTTTTTGATTGTTCGTACGCCGAGATTTATTCGGAAGAAAAAAAAAACAAATCAAACGGAAGTTAGTAAAACACGCTTGTGACGCGCTTGCAAATGTGAAATAATTAGATATAGTGAATTTTTATTTAACTATTATATATATACGTCAGTACAATATTATACAACATTGATATCGCGTCGATCACGAGCAAGTGTTAATTATCACGACAAAGAGCCAGCGTGTGTGCCATAGATGACAATCGAGCGATAACCATTGATTGCCGTATTTTCACAGTACGTAAATCGTCCACCGCAGTTAATGGTCGTAAGATACGTGCCTTCTCGTCAAATTATACGTTTCTTTTTTATAGTATAACTGTGTAAAACGCATGCAATTCAATTTTACCGCACCGATAATATATTTGTAGTGTTGATTCCACGACACATTTAGCGTACAAGCGTAATTTATGTACCGATTTTGAATTTTTTTAAATTATATATAATGTTATTTTTTGCGCAATGTTTTTCTCGACATTTGTATACTTGTTACAATAAGTATATCGTGTATTTTTCTTGTATGCGTAATCTTAAATATGTATTTATATATATGTAAAATTTGAGTGTTCTTCCCAGAGTAAACGCAAAAAGTAAACAGTAACGTAACATTAATGTTATAAATTCCCACACAGAACAATGAAACTGCGATGTAACACGCCTTGTACGTAGCAGTAGTTACATGGGAAATTTATAACATTAAATGTTACGTTACCGTCACTTTGTGTTTACCGGGTTCAGATCGTTTCCTCGTATATACGCACACACGGATTGTGACGTGTATTGAAAGGTACACAACACCGAAAAGAAAAATTTGTAATTATTAGAAAACTCGATTATGCCTCTTGTGCGACGTTGTACCGCGATATCAAAAGTGGATTTATCTAAAGAAAATATATACACATATTATTTCAAAATAGAGTGTTTTTTATGTGGTCCCATCTCGTTTATAACTCAATTCAGAATCATGACAACTGTGTGTGTGTGTGTGTGTGTGTGTGTTCACTCAGAGAAAGTTTTTAATTCTGTCTTCTTGATTTAACAATTCGATATATAATTGATAATTAAAAACAGGAACGAGTCTTCTCATTGCTAGCACTGATCGTCACACTCGACTATGTACGGCGGCGCGCATACACTGTGTTTTACACCAAAGGAAAAGGCGGGCGTCGGCTTGATCAGCGGGAGAGCGTATATCGGACCTGGACTTGCGGAAGTTACTCGCAACGTTCGCTTGGCGGTCATAGTGTACATCGGGACTTTTGGTTTTATTGCGTTCACCTCGAACGTATAAGGACCCGGCGTATCTGGTGGCTTCGATCCGGCTGTACGCAGTCCCCTTTGAAGAGGACATTAAATAAGACATTAGTAGTAAATTCTTGTGCGACAATGTGCATGAAGCTTATACGTAAAGTAAATAGCATCACGAAGAGCCTCGGAACGTACATGAAAAACGCAGGTGCGTCAGCAATGGGTTTGACGTAGTAAGGCCCGGGTGTTTCGTGGATCTTTCTGACTTTGGTTCTCCATTTTATCGAGAAGAAAGGACCGCGAGGAACATCCGGTAAATTGTACTTCGGACCGGGTCCTGTATCGAGATCTATCTTGTGATGGAAAAAAAAACACACAGTTACAAAGAATCGATTCAGTTTGAACGAGTTTAATTCTCTTACCGTGATGTTTCGTTGGAATTCCGAAGGTGAAACCCACGCGTTTAGGTTCTTTAACCATGTATTTCGGTCCCGGACCTTCCGCAATCCCAAAAACATCTTTTCGACGTCTACCAAACGTGTGCGCTGGATTTCGATACCGCGAGATACAGTGATCCTTATACCCGACGAGAGTTTTGAGTTTATACGCGGGTCCAGGAGCTACGAAATAAAATGTAATAAAATAATAACGTAGATATAGCGGTTTCAAGTTTCTCATGAAATTGAACTCATCAGAAAGTCGTTGGAGTCTTGTTACTACCAATACCAATTTTTGTTTAGCTTAACATTATTCACGCTTTCGATATGAAGGATTTACTTACTGTTTTACTTAGAATATTGTATAAAATCTATGTTTATCTTCACCCGCGTACACAATTAATATTTAAAATTAGATTCGATGAATGCGTACTGATAAAGTGACATTGTATAGAGACACCCTTTGTTTCCGTCTGCGTTTGTTTTCCTTCGTCTTTTGCGCCTTTGATCTTCATTCGTTGCTTTTTCGGTGGCATAATTCTCACTTGTAAATTTCGAAGTTGTACCTTACACAAGAAATTTGTCACATTCACCACAAATTTGTCACACTTACCTCCATTTTGTTCAAAACAATTGATATCTATCACAGATATCAGGCACAAAAGTATATCAAACTTTGTTTTCTTATATTAATAAAAGAAAAAATCAAACTATGCTTATTCTTTATAACAAATTGTAATAGAAGAAATTTATTATCTTTCCGCAAGAGAAATTTATTGCACAAATATATGAATGATGCAGCGTAATAGGTTTTTCTGTTTTACAAAATTCAATACTGGTCCAACTGTGTCATCGGTACCCCGGCGCACTCGCTATGTTTGATACCGAAGGAATACGTAGGCGCACGTTTACGCGTGTCGTACAGCGGATAGAACGTCGGCGCCGGACTTTGATATCCCATCACAAAAAGTGATGCGTGTTTTCCTTTCAGGGTGTACGCTGGGCTTCGTCGTTTTATAACATCATAATTCATACTGTCATACGCGCCTGGACCTGGACTCTTTATTTCATCGCGAATCACATGATAGCCAGAACTAGGAGAAAAAAAAACATGTATTGATGTTTTAAGAATATAAAACAGAAATGTATTGTCGCGCATACAAAATTAGAAATTTTAAATTATATAAACGACGATTAAATCCTCACATGCTGAATGCGCCACGAGCAGGTTTATCAGGTACTTTCGGTCCGATGCAAGTTGGCAAGACATACAAGTTTGGTCCCGGACTTTCAGACAGATATTTTGTTATTTTGCGTGCTTTTATACTATAAACCGGTGCTCTACGATTGTGATTCATCGGTGGGCACAGTTCAGGAGAATATGCCCCGGGTCCTGGCCCGAGTTCTTGCACTGTAAAAAAAAAAATAAAATAAAATATTTTTAAAATTATGTTTCTTTCTCTCAAAAAAGCAAGAAAGCAGCAAAAACTAAAGTTTACATCTCCAGTGTTTTTTTTCCCTGATTGTGTATGCTGGTGGATTATATCGACCAGTTTTTGTTAAATTTCTGACATTATAATGAGGAGCAGGTCCCGCTACGTACATCTTTACCTCTCTTCGAGCTCGTATACTGTATGAGGGATTTCTGTGCCGCGATGGATCGTGTCCAGTGTAGCCAACTAATGTTGGCAATTTGTAGATTGGACCAGGACCTTGAAAAAACAAAGCTTTGCAATTACTTAATATCGTGTTAATAGAGCACGTTTAAATTTTATTAGATGAGTGAGCAAAGTTTCAATAGTTTTCGTGATAAAAAAAATATATATATAGACCAAGTATTTTATTAAAAAACGATTTATTCATTCTATCAAGTATAACGGCAAAAGATAATAGAAAATAATGGAAATTATTTGAGTGAATAAATTGTTTTTAATAAAATTTGTTGTTCTGTTTCTATCACGAAGTTCATCAAAATTTGTGGATTCACTTATCATATACTTATTAATATTATTAATTATATATTTGCACACATTTCAACTTGATTGATTATCAGAGAGAGATCTCACCTTTTATCATACAAGTCAACACTTTCTGTTTTTTTTCCATTTTTATATTATTAAACGGTGTAAAGATATATATATATATGCTAAGAGTAACAAAATTATAAAAATTCTACAAAAACGTCGATTTAAAGAATATTATAAAGTTTCTTCATGACAAAGCGGGTTATTAATAAAATGTGAAGGTATGTATATCATGTAACATAGTTGATATGTTCACAGCAATCAATGTATATTCATTCAACTAGCCAATGACTTATTTCATTAATAACCTAAACTAAAGTAAAAAAATGCTATAGTTTAAGGCTCTTTATTTATATCTTTTTTTATCACAGTATAATTATCATTATCATTTTTTTCTTCATTCTTAGTTTCATTATTAAAGATGTTGTTTTCATCAAATTCCTCGCTCTCATAGTCTTCTTTGATAGCTAACAATTTTAATTCTGATAATAAGTCTATTCCGCTTCTAGAACCTATGCTATCCTCATTTGCATCCTTTTCGTTTGTATCTAATTGAAAGGTTTGGGATCTGTTTTTATTTTGTTTTTCTTTTGCTAAAACAAATCAGAATATGAAAATCAAAAAGAATAACATAAAAAGAAAATATTACAATAAATTATAAAAGTAAATAATTTTAAGACTCAACTATGTTTGAAATATGCAAAATACATACTTGATTGCTGATTCATATAACGTATAAGAGTTCTACGTTTTCTTTCTGACATTGTTTTCAAAAGTACTTGAACTTCAGCATCTAGTTTAAGTTGTTCTGTCTTGGTAGGTTTCCCTTCTATAACTTGTTTTTGCAACCCACACTTTGGACAGATTCCATGTTCTTTAGCACAAGGTAAACAGATATTGTGATAAGAATGTTTGACACTTTTCTGGCTGCATTTAATACATTTAATTGGAGCTTTCAGTATCTTATATTTTTTGTACTTGATCTTCCATTCTAATATTTGTTTACAACGCTCGCACACATTAACCACCTCGATGCTGTTGATCAATTTTATTTTTTGGGAAGTGTCGTGCATATCATTTTTGAAAGCTTTGTGATTTTGATGTTTTGGGGGCCTTGATCGGCTAGCATTCCCTCTTTGACAACTCATATTTCTGTTGTTACAATAAGCCTGTTCGTCTTGCACACACTTTGGCTGTGCTCCAATTTTACCACCAGCGCTGGCAGCACTTGCAAACACCGTTCTAAAATGTGTAAAGGGCCTTCTACAATAAGATATTAGGCTGGATCCTCATGCAGACACCGGCGCTTTGATACCGAACGTTTGATTGGTGAAAAGCAGGTGGTGAGGGTAAATGGCAGCTCTAAATGGCAGTGCTTACGTATTTAGCGTCAGTTTGTCTTCATTTCTCTTTAAATGAAAAACAAACTAAAATAAGAGAAATTGAGCGTTCAAAGCAAACGCACCTTTAAATCTTTAAATTAGCAAATATATTGTACTGTTTTAAAACCAAAAGTAGTTTTACCTTTGCGCGTAAATTTATCAAGACTTGAATGGCACCAGACAACTTTCTTTTTATTCCTTTCATTATTTATAATATACGTAATAAGAAAATACAAAAACAATGTATATCTTTGTTACTGAAACATTGCTTTTCTATGCACACTAGTAGAAAAATATAAAATGTTATTTTACATATACAATATATATAAAATATTATACATATTTTCTGAACAGTAATAATTATATACATTAAAAAATCAATTGTATATATACAATATATATATATATATATATATATATATATATGTATATATAAATTGATTTTTTAATACATATAATTTATATCATTAACGATAAAAATAATCACCCATCATTTAATGATTCGTGCTTAGTGACAGCCATAATCACCACATTATTTATAAATTTACAATTTCTCAATCAAAATCGATGATGCGCCGCCGCCTCCATTGCAAATTGATGCAACACCTTTCTCGCCTGTTTTAAGAGCATGTACCAGATGAACTACGATCCTTGCACCTGACATGCTGTAAAAATCACATATATTTTCATCGAGAGACAATTAATATATCAATTTTATATAAATCCGATAAATTATATTTCACCCTTACCCTATAGGATGTCCAAGTGAAACTGCTCCGCCGTGAACGTTTATTTTGGCAGGATCAATATCGAGTAATTTTTGATTAGCCACAACTACAACGCTGAACGCTTCATTAATTTCCCAAAGAGCCACGTCAGTTTTATTAACTCCAGCATTTTGAAGCAGCTGAAATATTCTTATCAATAAAAGAACGATCGTGCTTGCTTTTGCTCTAAACTATCGTTCACCGTTGAGCAACTTACCGAAGGTACCGCGAGAGCTGGTGCGATTGGAAAGTCTATGGGATCCGTTGCCGCATCTTGGAAAGCAACAATTCGAGCCAAGGGCTTAAGTTTCAGTTTTTGAGCGGCTTCGCTGGTCATTAAAATCAACGCAGCAGCACCGTCGTTCAGAGTCGATGCATTTCCAGCCGTCACTGTTCCGTTTTCTTTCTGTATAGATATAAATGTGCAAAAATAGAAAAGAAAAGCGAAATAGTACAAAAGGTAGGTAAATATGCTAATTAGGAGAGCAGCTTCCGACAACCCTGAGTTTGTTATATGTTATCAAGGTCATGACCCTGAGTGACCCTTCAAAAGGTTTTAAATAATGCTCACCATTCGTTGAAAAATTATTAACAAAAATTGTATATAGAGAAAAACAAAGTTTTGCCTTTTTTAATTTGCTATGCAAATCTTACTTGGAAAACCGTGCTCAGTTTTTCAAATTTCTCGAAGTTGATTTTTTTATATTCCTCATCTTCACAGAAAACCACATCCGATTTGCCTTTCTTCTGAGGTACATTAACGGGTACAAGTTCATCCTTGAACGCATTATTCTTGTAAGCCGCCGCGCTTCGTTTGTAACTGCTAATGGCAAATTCGTCTTGCTGCTGACGAGTGATATTAAGCTTCTTTGCCGTGTTTTCGGCACAATTACCCATGTGACATTTGTTGTAAACGTCAGTCAGTCCATCAAACACAATACCATCCTGTAAAAAAAAAAATAAAAAATTAATTAAAACTTGTAGCACACATATAAATACATAGATACGGCCAACTCTCGATATTTGCGCGCAATGGGGCTGTAGGGGAAGAATTTCTTGGAAAATGTGTATCAGTTGAGGAGAGGTGTGCAAATATTGAGAGTTGGCTGTAAATTATTTGTGTAATTATACACATATGTAAAGAACTATAACAAAACTATGTATAACATAGAAATTAACCTGGAGTTTTATTCCACCATATGGTGTTTCACCACGCGCTAAGTAATATGGCACATTCGACATAGATTCCATACCTCCAGCTAGAACAATCTCTTGATGGCCACATTGCAGAGACTGTGAGGCCAGCATGATACTCTTCATGCCACTCGCGCATACTTTGTTTACTGTGGTACACACTGTTGACTGTGGAAGACCTAAGAACAAACACAATAATTTTGTCAGACACAACAAGTGATCTCAATTAGAAATAATTGATGTTATGAAATAAAGATACATTTCCAAGACCTGCAAATAATGTAGCTTGTCTTGCTGGTGCTTGACCTAAGAAGCCTTGGCACACATTGCCCATGTAGACTTCTTTTACTTGTTCTTTGGCAATACCAGCTCTCTCAACAGCTGCCTAAAATGTATACCAATCCAATCTATATGATTAATATCATATTGAATATAATTTACTACTTATAAACATAAATGTTCATGTGTTAAATTCTCACTTTTACTGCTACCGCACCAAGTTTAGTGGCTGACAAGCTCGACAAGGATCCAAGAAATGAGCCCATTGGAGTGCGTACAGCACTTACTATTACAACATCATTCAATCTGACTTTAGAACTGTAAAAACGTTTGCTTAGAGAATTCATCTGAAAAGCATCAAGATAAAACTTTAGTCTTTATATATTCCATATGTGTTATACTTTGTGATGGAAATCAGACTGAGTATATAAAATATATTTTATCATTTTTATAAAAATGTTAAATGTGTGTACATATTACAGACGCAAATAAACAAAATAATAACATAACAATACTGCAATATTTTACTTAATTAGTAGAAACTTACTTTAATCAGTCTCGTTATCGTTGCCATTGTAAATCGTAAGTGATGTTTTGTTTATGGACAAAAAGACAAACTACAATGCATTTACAGTGAAACTTCATTTAGGCTGCGTTTCGTTTCATATTATACGTGACGTGTATTATAGATAAATGCGCGCATATGCGTGAAACGGAACGTAATTTTATTCTCCCACCCATGAAACGTGTGCTAATCGCATTGATCAAATGAGCCAATTGATCACCGTGATTGATCAATTCCACAAGACCTGCTACACTGAAATTTCATTTATTTTTCCTCTCACTTATCTTCCCACTCGGTTATCTTCTCACAAAATCTCTCAGTTATATTCCCAATTAGTTTTCTTTCTAACCCCCACTCTTACTTCTCTCTCATTCTTCACTCTCGCACTGTAAAGCCTATGTCACACTACGGATTGGGATTGAGATTAGATTGACATTTGACCAATCAGAAAAAAGAGAATCAATTCTAAGTGTACTGATCTGATTGGCCAAATTGCAATTCAATCTCAATCCTAATCCGTAGTGTGACATAGGCTTTAGGCTCAGGACTCAGGTTCTTCTCTGCTTAGCACATAGGCATCAACAAACCAAATCTTGAGTGATATTACGCAGATGACAGCGACTGACGGATAATGATGGATAATGAGATACATTTGAATTTTGATACATAAGACTTAAATAAAATGGGTCCTCCACCTGTGGTCACTGGAATATCACCTAAGGAAGGTCCGCCTGGCACTCGAGTGACAGTTCGTGGCGAATTTTTAGGAAGTAAAGCACAAGATCTTACAGGTTAGTATTTATAATAAATTGCAACTTAGTCTTTGCAGACTGGCATGTGGGCGGGCGTGTGGAGCCCAGAGCCACAAAAAAGTCAAGTCAATTACAACTTAGTAGCTGACTTAGAGTTGGTTTAAATCTTACAGCTTTAATCAAAATTTTATTGATTATCGAAATTATTACAGGGTTAACAATATGTGGATGCGATTGTCTGCTTTCGGCAGAATGGAAATCGTCGAACAAGATTGTAGCAAGATCCGGGCCTTGCAAAGGCCGTGGCGATATAATAGTTACAACTCGAAGTGGAGGACAGGGAACGTCAACGGTGCAGTTTCGTGGTTATCATGAAACCATAGGCCCCATGAAAGAGTCTGCTGTGTGGGTAGAAGAAGCTCCTATACAGAGTCTGGGTTGGGGCAGACGAGCATTGTCACCTACAAACTATCAACAAGAAGATCCTTTGGGACTTAGTGTAGAAGGAAATGAGTGAGCATTTAAACTGTATATAATATAGAACATTTTATTATATTTCAGAATAATTAACTATATGTTTTATGTTGTTAAGTAAAAAGTTTCCTGAAGATGAACTGATTGAACTGTTTGGAGATGGAAGTGGAGATCTCACAAATGAGAAATTTCATCCGGGATGGTTTTTATTGCAGCATCATCATGCTACAACTATGGAGGATTTAAAAGCAGGCTTAGCTTTTCTCAAAAGAAAAGTTAATTCCCAAAAGGAAGGAGAACTCTCATTTCTTAAAGTATGTAAATAAATGTACGCAATAGGATTGAGAAAATTTTGTTGGAATCAAATTGCATTTTAATGCAAACTAAAACTTTATTTGTACAACAGGCTAATGTGGGAGCGGTAATGGAACAACTTGACACCATAATGTCATTGAAAGATCAGTTTGAAGCGGATATGAAGACTTACGGCAATGATCCCACTGAAAAATTAGAAAAGGCTATCAAGCAGTCTATGTCAGAAGCGAATAAATTATTTGACGACGTATTGGCGAGAAGAGACAGAGCCGATGCCACTCGTAACGCTTTGGCCGTTATGCAACGTTATAAGTTTCTCTTTTGCATGCCAATTAACATCGAAAGAAATGTCAAACGCGGCAACTACGATCTTGTAATTAACGATTATGCCAGAGTGAAAAATCTGTTTAAAAATACGGAAGTGGAAGTCTTCAGAAAAGTATTGCAAGAAATTGATGACAGAATTGACAATTTTAAAGTGCTATTACGGAACAAGTTGAAAGAGATGCCGTTCAGTTTGGAGGAACGCAAGAAGATTATCAGGAATCTTGTTAATCTTGAAGCTGAAGGTGATCCAGCATGGGACGCAATAGGTACGTACATTTATTTTTTTTAAATCAAGTCTTTTAAATAAATTTATCTTTTACATCTCTTGGAACTATATCTCTTAAGGAAAATAATTTGAAATCTCTCTCACGTTCTTTAGTCGCACATGCGAACTATTTGGAAAAAACTGTTGCCAATGCTATACACGAGCATCTGAATATAGTTAGCAACGAAGACGCTAACAAAACGTCGAAATTCACATCGTTGAGCGCCAAGCATTTACATTCGCAAAAAATTAATGAAAATGGTTTACCATCACAAATCTTGTGCATTGAAACGATCTGCGACATCGTAATCGAACAATTGCCCGACTTGTGGAGATTAGGACAGAGCTATTTCACAGGACAGTTGCACGTGGCGGTAGATGTTGAAAAGCAAAGCCAATTTAAAGTACGTCGCATCTAATCAAAATTTTTACATGATTTATTATATAAGTTCACAAAAACAAATGTCATTTTTTTTTTTTTAAATTGTGCGTAGTAGTTTTTAGTTTTTGAAATATTATTCTGACGAAAAACTATTGTTTTTCTGTAATAGAATTTAGTTTTATCTAGTATGCAACGTGCCATGGAAGCCATGAAAACTACATGCAATAATGACGTTGAAGCAATATGGCTTATACATATGTTACGCTGCATCAGACAAATGTACGCGTCTCTAATACATTTGGACTTGCCTAGCGAGGCTCTTGATATCTTTGGATCATTTATATTGAATTTGAGGTACATATTTATAAGTGATCGTTTTAATCGTTTAATAAATATTGTTTGTTATCTGCATCTCATCAATTTATAATTGTTTTGTATACATTAATGCAGGATACAATGCATGATATCTCTTTTCAAAGAAGGAGCAGACAACATAACAGCTCTGAGCCGAAAAGAAACATGGCAAGTGGAATATCTGAGCGAGGACATTGGCGTTACAAAACTGGTATATCTCAAAATTTTGAAATTTCAGCGAAATTTGATTTTACAAAACTATTGTTCTCCGTAAAAATGTAATCGTTTTAATTTTCGAACAGCCGCATCTGTTCGAAGAAATCGTTCTGGAAACATCGAGACAAGCACGTGAAACGGTGGTCGCTTGTGGGCCGAGGGAAGGACCTTTGTTCAATAATCCAACTCATCAGACTCTTTATTACAATACTGTTAAAACATTATTTATCTCTTTTACACAATGTTTGCACAAATTAGCATTTAGCGGTTGCGAGGACGCTATGGACAATGATGAAACGTCAGTTTCACAGTTGATCGGCTCGCCTTCCAACTATAAAAGCAAAACCAATAAACATCAAGGACCGGTAAGAAGCCCGTTCATGATAGTAGAAACATTTGTATTATTATTATTTTTTATTTTATTTTATTTTTTTATTTCTTACATGACACATTTCTGTGAATTTCTTTTCAGACATGGGAACAGTGTCTCTTGATCTCGTTAAGCAATATACAGTATACTTTAACTACCGTTTTACCACGGATCGAAGACGCTCTGAAAACGCAAGGCTATCCGGATTTGCGCACCGCAATTGGATGGACTAACGATTGGACGCAATTAGAGAAGTTGGATAACGAAGTTTTGGACGCGTATTTGGAATACCGTTGCGATCCGCTCGTCGGCACGATCGAACCCAGCATGTATTTAGGCGGATTAGAATGGGACTTTGATACAAAGCCGACTCATCTAAAGCCGTACGCTCAAGAGATACTGGCAAATTTAATCGCCGTACACGCGGAGGTAATGAATTTTGTGTGACTTGAAATATATTATTTATTTTTGTTACATGTCACCGTGACATGTTGTTTTGCGCAGGTGCGTCGAGTCGCGCCGGCCCTGTTACAGCGAATTCTGTCCCACATAATAGAGACCATAGCCGAGGAACTCGCGCGACTTATGTCATGCGTCACGCAATTTCGTCCAGCCGGAATTATTCAGGCTAGGACGGATATAATACTCTTAAAGAATACACTGCAAGGCTACAGCACGAGTAGAGCGAGGTAAAAAAAAAGAACAAACCAAACACAAAACGAGATATTTTTATATTGCGCATTCAGAGAGACTGTTAGAATCTAAATATCGATTTTTTTCTTTTTTTCGAATAGAAGTTTTTTCGAGGAAGCTCTGGATGCAATACCTCAACCGACGAGTAAAGAGGATTGCATGCGAATTGATAGTCTTCTATTGGAGATCACAAAATGTATGAGATTGCAATTATCGTGTCTTGCTAGTGACGGAACGAAGACTATTCGTTATTTAATAGCAGATCCTGAACGTGTTACTACTGTATAAACTTGTTTTATACAATAATTGAAGCAAAACCAATGCGTATATTTTACTTATTTATTAAAAGTTTTTAGTTACGTAGCTAAAAATACAGGGTTTGTCTCTTCTCTCTCTCACTCACTCACTCACATGCATGCACGTACGCAAACACACATACGCGTATGTATATATACATATAAATTTATATATAATTTTACATTATATGTATATAAAACTATAAATACCAATTGGAAATTCGACCTTATAACCTGTTCTTGTCCACAGACGGAAGTGATATGGAAAAAATTCTTTTACACAATTCTTTATTAGTTGGCTGCTAAGTTGGCTGAAGATGATCAAAATAAAAGAACGATCGAAACGTCCCAGTATAAAGAATATGAAAAGAATTTTTTCCATACCACTTTCATCCGTGGACAAGAACAGGCTATAAGATCGAATTTCCAATTGGTTTTAATCCATTTTAGGGCCTGTTTCAATTCATTTTAACTATAAATACATGTTACTTATTTACTAAATTACTTTATTAAAATATTTTTAGTAAATTTTTATTTATTTTATATATAATTTATATATATATATATATATGTATTTTATATATAAATTAAATTTATATATATAAAATCAATCTGGAAATAGTGCTCTCTTCCTGTGCCAGATTCGCGTTTACAATTCTTTGTTTTTTTCAATCAAGTGTAGCACTCCAGTATCACCGTTCAATAGTACAGAGTCTCCTAAAATAAAATGAAAAATCTCACAGTATGAAAAAATGTGACAAGAAATAATAAACAATTTTATATTCTGTATCGAATATAATTTTGTGAAAACGCGAGAAGTGTTACCTGTTTGAAAAACTTGCGTTGCGTTTTTAGCGCCGACAATACACGGCAGGCCGTATTCCCTCGCGACGACGGCACCGTGGCTTATTAGACCACCCAATTCTGTTATAATGCCTTTAAGCAACGGGAAATATGGACTCCAACCGATGTCGGTGCAGTGCGTGATCAAGATATCTCCGTGTTTTATTTTATGTTTTGCCTCGAATAAATCGGTTATGACGCATGCTCGACCCAGTACAGAACCTCCACAAACTGAAGTACCTTTGATCTTGGTGCATTCTTCATAAGATGAAATGTCAAGAGTTTTCTGCAATGAGAAGTGATTCTATTTATATTATATATATTTAGAAGATATTTAGTAAAAAAACCACACACACACACATATTCATATATGTACATACATTTGAATATGTAAAAAATATCATACATTTCAGAAATATGTGTAAAAATAATTGGCAGTGTTTAATAAAAGTTACTCTTCAATCTATAAAATATAATACATGTAAAAATAAATTGATTTTGAGAGTATATACATATTTATAACAACAAACCTCTATTGGCATTGGCATGCCAGTAGTGAATTCCGGATATTCAAGTTCTGCTACTTGGAAATAAATCTTCTTTCTACGCAACGCTCTGAAAAATGTCAAAATGAGTAGTCTCAATAAGATAAAATATTAAACAATTATATCAAATAATAAATATAGTACTAAATAAGCAAATAAGTTCACTTACTTTCGCACGAGTAGAGTACGAATAGCGAGAGAATTGTTATCATTATTTAAAAGCTGTCCAATCTCTGGATGAGTTAAAAAAAATATAAGAATCTCATCAGGTATGTAACCTTCCGAAACCATCAAATGGCCGAGTCGTCTGTAGGCTAATCTCAGTATGTGCACAGCCTTTGTAGTTGCGTTTTTCGTGAATTCTCTATGTGTAACAGCTTTTCGAAAGAGAGGTATCACCTTGCTTAGAATTCTTTTTTTGAACGACGTTATTGGTGTTCTCAGAGACGCTATGGTGTCTTGAACGGTAAGCGTTTTATGTTGTTTCTTGTTTTCGCAAGACGTTGTTAACGCCTGCAAGATGACGTAAAAACGTTTTTAAACGGTTTTATTCTCCTCGCGAATATATTTCGAATGTTTTGTACCTGAATCGTGCTGATAATGTTGTCGGGTCTAAGTATCCAAGGTTCTGCGAACAAATCCAATTCTTGAACACCTCTGTGACCGTGCGTGTCAAAAAAGGTCTGAAGTTTTTTCGCCGCAGCAGGACAATTCGATTTTAACCAAGCCGCAGCTTGCGCGGGTTCGATTTCCCTAAACTTCTCTGCTTTGCCATTCTTTCTGATACATGTCGCTATCTCGTCGAGAACAATCGGCACTTCTGTGCTAATAACATTGGTGCACGAGCTCAACAGAACGGCAATGTCAGCAAAATGATCGGATGTAAAATCGATGTTGCCGTTTGTAATAAGATTCATCGCAAACACCTGAGTACAGACGCTCACCAGGGACAGTAAGTTGTGATATTGTCCCAACTGAAAAATAATATAAATGTTGATATAACGTGTAAACTTTGACATTTTAAAACATCAAATCTGGCTAGAATCATTTATGATCGATATGCAATATAAACTTACTAGAAATATTTCTTCGTATTTATTATTTATTTCGTTGTATAAACTGCAAGCTGTATCAAATTTATTAGCATCTAACGTATATTTACTATATACGGCAGTCACTTGTTTTGCCAATGTGTCCTTCATCCATACTGTTTTAATCAGATCGTATAACAAATAAATTTGTTGCCAACCGCTTGCGACACCGAACTTCTCTATTGCAGCTTTGTGCACTTCAGGCGTCATTAATATGTGTCCGGATATTGCTAAGTCTATCATTTTATTCAACATTGTTATTTCTATATTAACGTCCCGCAGAGCTGACTAAAAAAAAAAAAACATTGATTTATATAATCTCTTACATAAAAATACTGAATCATATGTATTTTACAAAAAATCATATGTATTCACTTACGTCGATGTAATTTATCGCACATCTCATACCGATCATGTGGAGAAACTTCACGTCATACGTATCAACTTTTGCGCCAAGCGCCATATTCAAAACTTTCACAATAGTAGAGATTGTCAATGGAGAAACGGGATGCGGAAGGACTTCGCCAACGTTGGCGAAAGTCATGAGGTTAACGTTGCTAGGAACTCCCGAATCCAATTCGTGCATAAGCTCGAAGTCCGTCCATGCGTTAAGACTAGTAATAGGTCGCGCTTGCAATAAAAAGATGTGCTCGCCGACCACTGCCCATTCCACATCTCGAGCAGATCCGAAAATTGATTCCAATTGCAATCCTATTTCAGCTATGCGTAAAGCGATCGCCCTAGATATCGACATCTCCTCAGTTTCTTTTTCACTCACATTGCTCGTAGTCACGCCTTCATTGCTTACTGACATCTTTTGTCCTTTACTTCCTATTTTTATTCCTCGATCGTCCAAAGTCAGAGTGTTGTCTGACTTTCTATAAATTGTCACAGTATCGGGCTCGACTTTTCCTGACACTACTGTCTATAAAAAAAGATAAATAAATAAAATGATTAATAATATTTTAATGCGCAAATAATAGACGTGGATGAAATATTTTGATAAACAAGAAATAAGAAAGTAATATTTCTAGTTTAATATTTAATTATTAATCTTTCTCTGTACCTCTCCCAAGCCGTAATTGGCCGAAATCACAATGCTAGATGGATCCCCAGTCATGGGATCTCTGGTAAACATAACTCCGGCTGCTTCTGCATCAACCATCGTCTGAACGCAAACGCCCATAGATGCTTTTATAGGCAATCCATTCTGTCTTCTATATTCGACACTTCTGTGCGAGAATAAGCTCGCCCAGCAATTTGCCACGTTTTTGACAACTTCGTTCGCATCTTTCACACCCAAGTACGTTGAGTTTTGTCCAGCAGCCGAAGTTTCCTCGCTGTCTTCACCAACGGCGCTCGATCTTACGGCATATCGATGGTGCATTTCATTTGTGGACAATTCCAATTTTTTCAAATTTTCTAAAATTACTTTTTCAATTTGTTCTTTAACAGGAGTGTTCTGAATAATGGACACTGCTCTAAAAAGTAAAAGATAAACTCAATTACAACTGAAATATATTTGACCGTACAAGCTGTTAAACGCGATGTTACTTGTCGCAATAATCTTTGAGATCTTCTTTCTTCTTGCCACAACTAATGTCTACTATATCATCAATCAAATGTTTTAATTCGGGATGCTGTAATTGATGTTCCAGGGCGAGAGTTGTTACACAAAAACCTTCCGGAACTATAAACTGCAAAAAGTAATATAATTCACATTTTTTTCTGTATATGACAAATTTATCTTATAATAAGATATGCGTGCCTTTCTGGTTTCACTATCTTTCTTGCTGATAGATGTCAAAACCGCAAGCGAATATCCTTTTCCCCCGACCAGGCTTTCGTTCTGGCATTGCTTGTCAGTAAATTGCAGAATGTACGTGTTTTCTTGTGCGGACGCGACTGGTCGTATCAGATATTGAATTCTCTCAGAAGAATTATTTTCAACCGAAAGAGTTACGTTTGTATGCGATTCGGTATACGCGCAACACACCATCATCTGTCCAACACCTTGCCATCGCAAACCTGTGTTTGATAAAATATAAAAATTAAAATTAAAAAGACTGGCGGAAACGGAAATCCGAGGTGTATGTGTGTGTGTATGTATAGATAAATTAGTAAACTTGATAAGTAGTGGATAAACTTGATAAGTTTAAGTAAGCTAGGCTAAGTTATGATAAGATAATATGTAACTTAGTTAAGTTTTAGATTAGTTAAATTTTGTACATGTATTATAAATTTGTAACCCTGAGGAGAAACAATGAACGTCATCTATCTATCCATCTATCTAAGTGTCATATCAATTTAACACATACCATTATTGCCATTTACTTCTGCATCGAAATTGCGAGTCGTACATATCCAGTTGCGAGGCTGACCATTGTAACATATCGCTTCGTTCCTTTCAATGTAGTTGATAACAATGTTATATCGTTTACCACCGGCTAAAACATTGCAAATATTTATGTAACGTTATACTGCAATCGTATCGCACACGACAAAAGAAATATATATATATACCCGTAAATGCAATTTTGTAGTTCATAGAAACGCTATCTCCTTTGTCAAACTCTTCTAATTTAAGATCAGTCCAATCAATTTTAGACACTTTGCCTCCTGCTTCTTCGAGATGACCAAATTGCATGCTGTCAAACAAATTGCAGTCTTATTAATAATAAGATTTACGCGACTTCAATTAGAAGATATATATTTATCGCAAGTTATCTCATAAGTAGCTATATCATAGTTTCCATAAATTTTGTTGTGCATATAATAAAATCACAATATTAAAAAAAAGAAACAATTACAAAAAAATATACGAGTACAGTTTCATTTTAGTAACGACAAAGATTTTTTCTTTTTTTTTTTACTAAAAAACTTCAACGTTTTCTTGATATACAACATTTAAAAAAAACACACAAAAAAGACGTCAATATGTTATCTTACTGTGAAAAACTATGTTTGGTTTTGCCCACACCAAGATAATAGAGAGCTCCTTGTTTTGTCACACCAAGAAACGTGATTATTCGGTGAAACTGATAAGATTCGTGTTTACCCCAACGCCGCTGGGAGAGACCGTGAAGATAAAGTGCAGTTGCACTTGAATCTTTGAATATTATCTGTCCGATGATAGATCCGTATTGATCAAAACCGACGTAATCAAGCAATTTGCTGCGACATCAAAAGATATTACGTATACATATACACATATACACTCAGTTGCCGACATGTTACTGCGTAATAAAGTAGTAACGAAAATTTACATTTTATGCATCCAATCGGGACCTTTCCAAGGCTCGGATGCTAAAGCGTCCGCGTGTAACTGAGTGCTCCAGTCACTCGGCCATTCCAATGGTTGAGAATGTCCTATAAATCTAGACAACGGAAGATATACAATGGCTATTAACTATTAGTGAGCGACTCACGTTTAGAATCGATACAGAATAGACACAGGCGTTCCAGAATTGTCAAAACTGCGACTTTCGCATCCGTTGTGTTATCATTAAAGTGTTAAAAAATGGTCAAAAACAAAAAAAAAAAAAAACCATGAAGATGTTTCATTAACAATTTGTTCCTATGTAACTTCATTTTTTTGCTTTTACTTACATAAAACTTAAACGAACATGTTCCAAGTTGTCGTCGTTAGTCATGTTCCTCTTACACTGATTTCGAAGGAAACCATTGTAAGTGATTCTCCAACGTTGTCGCGGTTCTAATATCTCAATGTTTAGATCTGATGCCGACCATTTCTGAGATGTACGTCGTAAACCTTTTTCCGTAAATGTATCAGGATAATCTGCACATTCACAAATATCGTATAATTTTGTGTTAGATGACAGTTAAGAGTGAATTATTAAATGAAACTCACTGGGAAGCACGTAAGTTCGGCCGTCTTTTAAGATCAGTTGTAAAACTATTTCTGCCAAGTGATATCCTCTGTAATTTATTTTCACAAAGAAGGAATTACCATTCTGATCAGCACCGTAGAAAGACACGCTATCAGAACTCTATAAAAATTATCTTAATTAAATCTACTTTTCTCACGACTAACAGATTGACGATGTTGTACTTACATTTTTATCCAACATAAGTTTTGGTTCATCTACATACGGTTTCAAAATTCTTTCAAGTGTACGTGTTCTGATGTCTTCCTTATTATCTTTTTTCTTGCTTTTAGAAATGCACTTGAGAGCCCACCATCGTTTCAGAATAAAACAAACTAAAAAAGAAAAATACCGATATAAATGCAAGACGTCTTCTTTATTAAAAAGTTGAAGTTTTATTCTCACATATAGAACATATAGTTAATAACTTCGAATTTGTGTCTTTATATTTTCTTGTATAAAAATATATGATGTTAAAAGTGTAAAAAACTAAAAAAATGCTCAATCTCTTTTTCAAAGTACAAAAGTCCGAGTTTATTATTAATCGTCAAGTGGAGGAAAAAAACACGAAGTGTTTGGCAAATCACTTACCCACATCTAGATAATATGATAGACGCAGTTTTGTGCTCTTGTTGAACCACAAATAGGTCCACACAGGAAGGATGAAGATCAAACTCGATACGATGAGATCCATCGTTTTGTAAAGTCGCGCGACACAAAAGACACTGCTGCGAAATGTACTGCGAACTTCCGTTTATGTTATAGGAATATATATATATATATATACTACGCTCTCGTAACACGAGATTTTGCAGACCTCCTATTACATCAGTTGTTATCAGAATCGTGAAGTTATCACGCGTTCAATTTAAAAAAAAAAAAAGATTCAAGGACTCTGTTATCGGTCATCGAACACGATATACAAATATTTTTGTAGATTACAAACTCTCTATCGCGAAATAAAATGATACGCAGGTGTGAGACAAAGAATGTTCATTTTGTGCGTGTAAGAAATGCAATCTCATTTACTTAAAGACTGCGATTACGTATAATCACAGTCGAAATAATTGTTTGTTTGTACGATAAACATACCGTTATCTGACACGATTTTTTTCTACTATACGCGTTGGATATTACCGATTATATAATTTCCTTCTAGATCCTTTGTTGTAAAATTTGTCATCACAAACATCAAGTGCGCACTATAGATAATACACTGATTACAATATGACCGATTAAGAGTTGATTTGTAAGATTCGTTATCGGGTCAATTGTAAGACAACCTGACGGCTAACACTTCTAGGAAATGGATGAAAGAGAATTTTTCTAAAACGTTTTTTGTTTTAATAAGTCTATGATACATTAATTGAAATTCTTTATATTGATGATATAGGTAATTATATTGCTTAGACGCATGTCGCACAATATGATGTGATATTATGTCTTAGAAGCCAATGACTCAAGAAAACGATGACAATAAATTAATTAAATTATTTTAAACAATTGTTAATTTGTTTTTTTGCTTGCACTGCCAAGATCAACAGTTTCTTCAATTGTATCAGTGTCTGTGCGCGATTTATCCACTGGGTATAACCTGTGAGCAATATTAAGAAACTCAAAAATGTGTTTGTAGAAAAATTCGGATGAAGTCGACAGCGTGATGCATCCTGAACATTGAGATAGCGATGAATAAAGTACCCACTTAAAAACACTTGATTTTTTTTTTTAAGCAAAATGTCCNCGAAACGTAATTAAAGTTGGTTCTTTGTTGCTTGGAATTGTGCTAGCACACGAGTAGAGAACCAAATTTAATACAAACGTTTTTTTTCTACAAGTTACGTTTGCACGTGACTGCTATGCGAAACGTAGATAAGACTAGCACGTATCTGGTGTTCACATCATTGTAATATTCAAATTCTCATTTACTCGAATATAATGCTAAAACCCGAGCAATACGATTGGAAAATAGCTTCAAATCCATCTCGAAGATCCAATCACCGACCTCGATACACAGCACGTCACGAGACGTATATTTCGCACAGAACGAACTTAGTAGCGCGCTTTAATCCGCGCAAGGAAACCAGCTTCAAACAGCTTACGTTCTGTGGAGGATGCTGAATTTTAGCCACTAGCAACAATATCCTTATGCAAACATCGTTCGGTCTTCCGACCAAAAAAAAAGACTTCAAGGATTCTTCAAGAAATTATCTAAAAGATTTTACTTTCGGTTGATTTTAAGTGGGTCAAAAGTCTCAAATAACTTCCGTCCGAAGAGAAATAGGTGGNGGAAACTTCGAATCTTTCTAAGAAGTGATGTAATGATTTTGCCTCGGGACAGNATCCAAAGTATCAAACATGTTCCTCTACTTACTGACGTTCTTTTTAGAAAGTCAGATAAAAGAAATCACACATATACGCATACACGTATTGAGAAAGTTAAATTTTTTTCCACATGTTGACCGAAGCTATAATACTGTTGTTTAGATCTGTCTAAAAAACGTGAACAATAAAAATAAAAATGTATAAAATATGGATTTTTCTTTTCATCGCAATCTTCATGTTTCATTAATGCAGGGCTTAGCCCGAGTCAAATAAAACATCTCGTCGACTTTCATCCGCGGACGAATATATCAAAGATTTCAATATATATATGTATATAAGCTTTCTAATTAAATAAAGTTTTACCATCTCTGATAAAGAAAAACGACAAAGACAATATCGTTTCTGAAACATGCTATTCTGTGAGACGTCGGTGTTGTTATAATAAAAGCGAATACGTCATCGATAAACGTATTGAACGCTTTATACATGATCGTTTTNCAAGGCACGTGCGCCACAGATTTCAATTTATAATTGATGAACAATTGCGGTAACATGAAGAGAAATCCGAACGAATAAACTCCATTCACTAAAGAGTTTATACTCCACGAGTACCAACTAAAATGTAAGAGTTTAGATTTTATATGTCCTAAAGCAACGCTCGACCAGGCGCTAGAGTACAGTTCTCATTTATCAAAAATGTGACTGTGGTCTAAAGTCAATCAAAGATTGTATCAAATAAAATATCAGATAAAAAAGTATATTNACCTTTTATGCGGCTGATAAAAGAGAGAATAAATTGCACCAACAATGACTAGCGGGTATAACAGATAACTTAGATAGCGCATGCTCTGAGCATCAAATTTTCTAGTTTTTTCTTCTGCTGCGTTAACACAATCGCTCTTAAACTGTATTTTCGGCAAAATGCCACCGCTCCTAATCAGCTCTACTCTCGATACTTTTTTTAACTTCCACAACTAAATTAGAAACAAAGAAAATAAAATATATATATATATGTTGTAATAAACATATATTAAAATTTTATATATCAAGCATATATATATATATACGTACGTCAATAACAGTACTAATGCCAGCTGGAATAAGAATGAGCAAGGAAGCACCTTCTTCGCAAAGATAAAGGAAAATCACGATTTGGCTAAATGCACGCCATATTATGGTCCATACACTGAGGCCCACAAGATTGTTCTTCTTCCACCAAAAACTCACATCGTTTTTTATGGCAAGAAAATCGAACAACAACTGCAAAATACAAGATCAATATTGATTTTTTTTTCTGCAGTTTCTTGATCATTTGTTCACCACACTTACGTGTACAGATGCGATAAATAGTGTACCACTCAGTAAGTAGATGTTGGTTTCTGTAAAAATGCCTTTTACATCATCAACGTCCTTGTCGGAAAACCCGAGAACTTTTACATTCTCTATGCTTGCCTGTACTTGCAGCAACATTCTTAGTTTTCCCAGAGAAATAGGTGAGTATTCCACCGTGACGTTCATCGTACTATTCTGAGGAACGAGTCGCTGCAGATTCCGACGCCGAGTTCGTAAAGAATCATAATTGACTATTGGCAAATATGTATTTGTACCAAGTAGTCTGCAATGAACATACATTAATATAGAATGATATATTTCTCAAGAGTACAACTCAACATATTGTGTACGTGTGTGTATATACACACATATATATATATATATATATACTTTATCTGTTAAGAACAAAGTTTACTTTATATATTGCACAAGTTCGGCAGGAATGTTAAACAGAGGAAGCATAATATCATCAGTCATTATTGTAAACGTCACATGACTCTTAATGTGCACAACCGGATGCAACATAATCTCCTTTGTTTTTTTCTCACTCAAATCTTTCTCTTCTAACAATTTAAATGCTTCTGCTTCTGGTACTGTATACTGTGTCATTTTAATAGTAGTAAAAGTAGTAAATATATTCTGTAAAAATAGATTTAGAACGTCAAATTAATTAGGAAACCAAGGAAAAACAAAATACTAAAAGTTCATGAAATTCCGGGCAAAAAGAAGCGGAGTATTACTGTTCGCAAAGCACGAAATGAACCATCGTGCTTTACAGAAGTGGGAGTTACAAATACATGCAGAAATAGCGTTCCGTTCTGCCGTGTCTCGTGCGGAATACTCAAAGTGGTATGACTGCAAGAAGAAAAAAAAAAGAATCCATTAAAGTTGAGCGGAAACATTTCCGTCAATTTTATGAAACATCTCAATCAAATATGCTCTTGCTAATTGCAAAGCTGAGCGCTCTTACATAGTTCGTTCTTCGCTATAATTAAAATTCTGTTCCAAGTATATGAGTTTGGCTCTGTTGACGGGTTTTTCTTTCACAGAGATAAACATATAAAGATTCAACTCAGGCCTCTCGGTCAGATAAGACTTGAGGCACGGCTTGCCCTGTTCGCAGGCCGGCGTAACAAACAGCTGAGACAATATGTATATCGAGTACACGACATTGATCAAAAATACATAAGAAAAAAACGAAACAAGACTATTGAAAGACGGCCACCGCATTTTGTTGAAGAGCGTTTTTAGCCAACCACATCACAGATTTGTGTACATTATCACGACTTTCGTTATACTCTCCCAAGTGTCCCGATGACCTCTCGAACAGCGATCGAATGTTTGCGTGTCACAGACACGCCGTACGTGTACGCCGTACCTCCTCCAATTCTTGGCAGTCGTCAACAAGTGCCGGCTATATAAAAATACAGTTGTACATAACGCGGGCACTTATAATCGACCGATCATTGACAGTTCATTGGCCGTATTCAAAAAAACAATTGCTTAGTTGATGTCTTGTCAATACTCGACGTTGATTTGTTAGATTTAAAAGTAAGAGCTAATCATATTCATGATTACTACAAAGCAGCTTGTTCTACTGAACGCAATCATTGGCTCGCGAGTCATGCTCAGCAGATTTAAATAAAGGACCGTCCACAATGGAAGTAGGCAGTATTAAGTAAGGTTCTTGGAGTTATTTTCTCATTTTTGTCTATACAAATAATTATTTCGCGTTTTTTGACACGCGTCTTTTATTGGCTAACAGTAAGGCAGTGCGAAATTGGAAATTGCCCATTTCGTTATTCCCGTCGTTTCTTCACCGAAAAATAAATTTACTCTCTACTCCTACAGCCTTGCTATCTTCATTGTAGACTCGCCATAAAATACGAATTACTCGATCGATTGATACAACAGAATTAGCGAACTCGTGTGGTTTTTTGCCTGTGATAGGCGTATACTTTTACATCATTGAAAAATCTAGAAGAATAGACCAATCACAGACAACAAGCACAAAGTGACGTCTTCAACTGCCGAGTTCCGCCAAATGATTATTAAAAAAAAAAAACAGTAGAGAGTTCTGTTTCAGCGAATTAGAATTTATCTAAATAAAAAATGTTCGTTGAAAGTCGCACTAAGTGCAGGTGAACCGAATTTGCTGTTAATAATAATAAATATATGTATACGAGCAAATGTTTGTACGTTTTCTGCTTTATCAATTATAGATATCTACATGATCAGATTTGCAGGTTTCTGTTATATCGACAATGGGTAATCGAAAATCAGGTTATTAATTCTGTTTGCCTCTGGAGAGCAGCGCTAACGTGCTTAGACACGACCCTGAATGAAAACTCCGTCACTCTTGGAGGAGCGTGCGCAACTTGTAGCGTAGGGGTGCACGAGTAGAACGCAAGCCGTCGTGGTGTGTTGCCGTTGCGCAGGGGCCCAGAGAGCGCGTCTCTTGCGGGACCACAGCTGGTGCAAGACCGCTGGTCAAGATGTAAGACATCAGGACGCGAAGATGTCACGCTAGAAAGACAAGAGTTGTCAGGTCCAGACCGAGAGAGTGTGAGAGAGAGAAAGAGAGAGAGAGAGAGTGTGTGTGTGTGTGTGTGTGTATGTGTGTGTGTGTGGTGTGCGTGTGGAAAGAGAGCGAGAAAACGAAAGAAGGTAGAGAACGGGAACAAGCGAGCGAAAGGGTGAGAAAAAGCGGAGCATACGAAAGAGAAAAAAGAGAGAGAGAGAGAGAGAGAGAGAGAGAGGGAGAGAAAGAGAAAAAACCACCGAGGGGAGGGGCCTTACAATACACCACGAGATGAGAACAGAAATGGATTAGTCGGAAAAGGAGGATCGATAGGCCGCCCTATAGCTGTGACGATGGAGGACACAACGCTGGGGTGAGTACCGTGTCGTTTCCGGCTAAGAAGGGAGTTACGAATACGGGGGGATGTGTATTACGTGCCACATACGTGCGCTCGTCCGAGAAGAAGCGTGAGCGTGTTTTCACCGGAAACAGGGAGGGGGTAGAAAGTAGGGCGCAAAGGAGGAAGGGTGTAAAACGGCGACGGGGTGGTGGTGCGCCGGAGGTGGATGATCGCGTGAGCGGCGGGGATGTCCCGCTTTCTCGCGGTGTCTCGACCTCTCGCCGCCGCTGTCGCTTTCGGAAAGAACGGAAGCAGAGCTTCTCCTAGGCGAAGAGAAGCGTTGAGAGCAAAGGAGGCGGCGAGGCGCGGACGGTTAAACGGAGGCGATGTCGACGTCTCGTCGATTCCGACGCTGCATCATGCGCGTCGACGTGCATCATCGCGGCGAGAAGTCGTCGACGTACGGAGCGCGGGAACTCAGGGTAGCGTAGAAAGAAGAGGTGCTGTTATTATTGCTCGTGCTCGGCGTGGTGGTGGTTGTTCACAGTGGTATCTGCGTGGTGACGGCGACGCTTACGCGTTATCTCGATGACCCTTCTCGAAAGACGGCGAATGGATCTCGAGTGAGTGACGACGCGCGCTGTCGCGTGATAAAACGCGCGAGGGAGAGTTAATTCTTTTCAGAACGAGACCGCGCGGTCGTCGATACCGCATTCTGGAATCTTACATCACAGGAAAATGTTTTAATTTTATACTTATTTTTTGTGTCCCTGAACTCCTGGAATACAGAATTCGTGACGTGAATAGTAAGTCATTTTCGCGTTGTACGCGCGACATCCAGTCGAAGGGAAGACCGATTTCGATCGCTTTGTTGAGAACGGAGAGCCAGCCTTCGTCACCGATGACAAGTCTCAATCAGGACAGACATTTATACTCGCGAGGGAATTATTTATACTTTAGACGGTAGAGGAAAAAACGTTACTCTGAGGAGTTTGGTTTCGCAACTGTGATTATTTTTTTGTTTTTTTTTTATTTGATTTCTGCGCGACACCGCTAGGAGAATTGACGAGAATTTTATAAAAAAAGACAAAACACTTGTACGTATTTGTTGAATATAAAAGTTAAAAACTAAAGTGCTCGAGACTTTTTGCGTTTGTCGACCGAGCACGAAGAGAAGAGCGACTCTTGCGGGATGACGTTTCGTTGTAGCGTGGGTACATATTTCCGTACTTAGATATCAACGCGAACGTTCTTGATATCAAATTACATCGTGTAATCAATCATCAGGAAAGACACAAAGGCGGTAGAGAAATTCAGATATATATTTATCAATGCGTTTGAAAGCTATAATAATCTCTAGCTATAATAATTGAGTGTTTGACTGTTGACGGATTTAACGTCTTACCATCTTTCACAAAGGACATCCACATGTAAGAATTTCACTTATTAACTCCAAACTCTTCAAGTGCGTTTCAAGATGTGCGTTATTGTTTAAATTTTAAATTTATTGTTACACTGAAGAAGGCTCAAGAGTAAGAGCCGAAACGTTTGTATCATTATATAATTAACAACGGCATGTTAATTTAATTGTATAATATAATTTATTTTTTTAAGAACCATTTGTGTGTGTGTGTGAGCTCGATGCAGACCTTGTATATTGTTTTAATTTTAATTTGTTTATAATAATCTCGTTGCGTTCCATTCTTGATAGTCTTGATACACGAGGAGAAGTGAACCTCGCGCGAGAAAATCGGCACATTTCCGCCGTCCTGCGAAACCACGGCAAGAAGTAGAATTGTAAAATTTGTTCGCCGAGTTTCTTATTTTATTTTTTACGACCGAACTCGTTGAGTGCTGCTAAAGTTGCTCTTTTGAAATTTTGTCTTTATTTATCTGTGTTCGAATAATATCGGGGCTAATTTTGTATCGATAATCAATAGAGTGACAAAAATGTCACTCGATTTTGCAATTCGAGTATTTTAAGTGTTTGCACGTTTGTGTGTGCGCGTTTTATTCTATCTGTAAAATAAAAAATTATCAATATTGCGAGCAAATGTAAAACTACATCGATATACGCAAGTTAAAAGCTCGTGAAAATGTACAACTAAATATTAAGTCGACACGAACTAATATGCCGGATGTATGTGCAATTTTATATGGAGACACATTTATTTATTTAAACATACATTTCCTGCACGCAATGTGGGAAATCCAGATTTGATCCTGGTCAAGGATGTGTCTTTTTTCGCACAATGAATTGTTTAATTTCTATAGAGGGTAAATAGAGTATTCACATGTATGAGATATAAACCAAGCATTTTATAGAAATTTTTGCATTAAATTTAATTTGAATTTTTACATGTGTTAATTTACACGTTTAACGGAAGTAAGTAAATCAATATAAGTAACTAAATAAATAAATATATGTATATATGTGTATTAAATAAAAAATGTGTGTTTTAGTTTTGAGGCACAATGTTCAACAACGTCTTACATTTTTTGTTTTTGTGTTTGCTACAACTTTAGTAACTCAGTTCAATCAATTAACTTAACGGCGCGTATATAATACTGTTAACTTTACGAAAATTTAATATCTTGCAAAAATCGAGGGACAAGTTTTTCATTGGCCACCATTTTTTACGGTTACATGGCACATGATCGACCTATAAGGAAAAGATGTACGAATGCAAGAACTAACTTTTCTATTTATTATGAAAGCGTTATACAATACGGCGCAGATACAAAGTTATTGAGAGTGAGACACAAATTTGAAAGGGACGAAATAAATTTTATGATATTTTTTAATATTTTTACCGACTTAATGTACTTTTAAACACCAGCAATAACACGAACGCTCTGCATTCTTACATAGTTATTACTAGAAAGTATACGAAGAAAAAATACGTCTTGTGCATATGAAAAACAACTCAGATTTATCAGTATTAAAAAGTCCATCGAAAGTTAAATTTAATTAACAAAATATTGTTGATATCTTTATTAGATTTTGAAAAAACAGCTTGTAACACTTTATTTAGGACACCCTGTATATATATATATATATATCATTGCATTCATTCGGGATATTGGCTCGTATCGACTTTAATACTTAGTTGTACATCGATACACAATGCCTCTCGATTCTCGACACACGTTTGCAACTGTTATTACATGATTGTTGAAAATAATTATTACATCGGAATGTGCGCAAACATGCACGCAAACTTCCTGATTCACGCGTGAGAATGCAACCTCCCTTCGGAAAAATGTCGATGCGTGGACTCACTTGCGCTCTTGAAGGCGATACGCCATAAATAGAAAAGCCTTGTTAGCACAACATACGCGACCTGTACGATTACCAGATGCATCAGGTACAAACGGGTACGTTGGTCACGTTGTGAATTGCGATTCAATTTGCGAAGAAGGTGTTCATCGAATCCGACAGAAATTAATTCGTGTTTCTCGATAATCTTAAATTCTGTTTTAATAATTCAGTAAAACACATCGGATTTTATTTATCTCTTATAAAATTTTTAATTTAATTGATTTTTGTTACGTGCTTTCTTCGATAATTTGCATGCAGAATATTCACAAAATTCTCAAGATTTTTAATTTTAATTTTTCTATTTTAAATTATTGTGCATTATTATTGAAATTATTTTTAAATTAAAAATTGTGTTTCAAGATTATAGTTATATACACATTAAAACAAAATCAGTTTTTT